TTTTTATCCTCTGACTCTGTTTACGTCTTAATGTGTCACTTCCTGATGAGACCAGAAAAACAACAGAACTGCAGTCTGAAAACAACATTTTTCAATTTGAAAGCACAGATATGTTGAAGAAAGATTGTTTCTTTTGATATTTGCRTTTATTAACCACTAAGTATTTCTAAATGTTTCTTTTGAAAGCTGCTGTTGTAACTTGAAGAACGTCTGTGTTTTCAGCTGGTCTTCCTGTGAAGACGGACATCACTCCCGGTCCATCTCGGCTCTGCTCTGGCGCCAGACGGTCGTTTTTCTGCAGAATGAAGTGCAACAGACCCTCTGTTAAAGTAGAAGATAAAGATTTCCCCTCTACCTGTTCTAAGAAAAAAGGTACCTTTAGACTCTGTGAAACATCTTCAGGTTTTACAGGCAGACAGAGCTCCTCTCATCCTTCACACTACGCCTCACTTCCATCAGACACACTGCTGTTTTAGTGTGTGGTTTTTTTTWAAATAAAAGCTGTTTTTATTTGGATCTCCATTAGACAAAAGAGTCACACCTCAGCTGAGCTCTGTGTTTTTACAAAAGATCTGTAGAAAACTGAGACCTGAGAACAAAAGAATCCTGTTTGGTCAAATAAAAACATTTCAAATGTGACCAGACTAGTTGTGTGATGCTTCAAAGTGCTCACGCTATTGAGATCATTTTCAGCATCTAACTCAACTATTCATATATCAAAACGTTCAGCTCATTTACGACAATCCTGCTATGACTCCTTGTATTTCAGCTCTTTTTACTTTTTCAACCATTTAACATTTTTAGCCACTTTTTTTTACCACTGAAAATGAATGGAGCTGTTTTCAACATCCATAAAATCCTTTAAAATGTTTTTAAATCTTTACAGAGCCTTACATATTCTGTTCTGGTTATGCTCTTTTTCACTTTCTTGTGCTAATTTTAGCTACTTTCTTCCTATTTTAACTTTTGTCCTCTATTTTAGCTAAAATTCAGCTTATTTCTGCTATTCTTCTGCGTTTTTCTAATTTTTTTGTGCTTTTTTTCTGCTAATTTGTGCTAACTCTCCTTACAGTAGCCTTCTGCTATTTTCAGCTATTTGCTGCATCGTTAGCTAATTTTCAGCTGTTATTAGCTAAAGTTAGCTTTTTAAAGCTAAATACACAGATTTTGTAGCTGTTACAGCTATTATAGCTATTATAATTTGGGTGCTAATTCCAACTTGTGGCTGCTACATTTGCTAATTTTAGTTTATTTATTTATTTGCTAATTTAAACATAGATCTGCTTCTTTTTGGTATTCATTTGCTTTTTTCAACTCTGTGCTTTGTTGTGTATTTGTGCTATTTATGCTTCTTACAAATGTTTTCTGCGATATAATTTAATTTAACTTACAGCTGTTTTCTGCTTTTTCTACTATGTTTTTGGCTCATTTTTACTGTTTTTTCTGCAAAGTTAGGCTTTTTTTGCTTCTTTCAACTATTTAAATGTGAACTCACATTAACACTTTCGCTATTAAATATTTTCAGCTCAGTTTCAGCAACGTTCAGCTTAAGTTTTCAGCAAGAAGCATTCACACAAGCATTTTAGCAGGAAATGCAATTCCTCTAGTTCAGCTTGTTTTATTTAACATTCCCTTTCGACATCACTTCCTATTATTTCACATGCAAATATGTCAACAACTGTCCGTCTGAGCAATGTGAAACTTGTTTTCTAATATGTTAATAATGTTATTTTTCCAAAAATGCATTCATATTTCTTACCAAAGTTTTATGTCACATGCAGTTTAAGGTTTCTTCTACAGCAAGCTGGGGTTGAGACCCCACTGTGGGTCCTAAAACTCCGAATTTTGGGTCGTTAGAGGATTTCCAGGAATTAAATTAAGTTTAAAACTGACTGCTGAGAATGTTTTTTTTGCTACATTTGACAAAATAGCAGTTAGATATGGATAAAACAATAGGTCTACTAGCAATATTTGAAAAATTCAACCAAAAATACTTTGATTCATGAGTTTCTGCCACAGTTTTGTTTTTTGTTTTTTTTTGTCATTTGTGTTTATTATGAAATTGGTCTTAAATTTGATTTCACCTGGCATTAAAAAGTCTTAAACTTTCCTTAAACTGTAGGAACGCTGAACAAAACCAAAACAAAAAAAGCTAAAGCTAAGCTCCGCCCCTTTCCTCTGACATCATTACAGCAGACAGGAAGAGCTTCTGCACCATACACAGCACAGGTTACCTAAAGAGCTGGCCGCCCACCAAGATGGGTCTCGACGAAGACAACGAGCCGGACAACGAGGGCTGCAACCTGAGCTGTCTGGTGGCCATCGGCCGCCTGCACTCCCACATCGTCCCCCAGCCCAGCCTGGCAGACATCAGGGTGAAGCCCACTGAGTACGTCTCCCGGCACGCCATCGACGGCAAGTTTGTCTTCGTCGACCAGAGGTGAGRAGCAGGGGGCGGGTCGAATTCAACACCATGTTGGACCGTTTTATTTTAGGTTTTAAATGTTTTGTGAGGATGTAAAGCTTTTGAAACAGTTTGTCAGCCAGTGGTAATTTGTGACTACATTTTAAAAGGCTGCTTCTTCTTCAGGGGTTTACACAGTGAACAAACTCGTACTTTAAATAAGACATTTTCCTCTTGAGTTTCATAAAAGACATACTTTGAAATACTGGCTTTCGATGCAGAAAGTACTACCTGAATGTTTTGTAAGCATAAATTACTGTAAAGAACCTATTTTTGACACTTTTAAATTGATTCAGAATTGTTCATGTTTGCATCGCAGTGCTTAAAAACTAGATTATARYTCCCACCCCTAAATGCTATWAAGTCTTTTGTTCCATCAAAGGTTRGTTCAGCACCACCTGAAGGTAACGTTTCATAATGGAGGCGCGTGCGTTAAAAAGCTCAACAGAACCAAAACGTTGAACTTCAGAGGAGTTAAACACCATCCAGGGTTTTTAACGTCTTAAAGTATTCAATCCAAAAATAAGGTCTTAATTAGCCTTAAAATGTCTTAAATCAAGGTTTCAGAGGTCTGAAAATGTTAAACATGTTGGCTGATTGTATTTCGTCTCAAATACAAAAAAAAATGGTAACATACATACATACATACATACTACGGCTGTCAAATGATTAAATTTTATAATCT